AGCAACTGTTACAATCAAATGACCGGAACGACCAGAACGACTGGAACAACTGGTAGATCAGTTGCTATGATGTGCAGACGCTCAATACAGGAGCTGCCCCCTGGTGGTCAGTGCACTCCCACAGCCAACCTCCCGTGGTCCCCTCCCCACATCCCTCCCCCTGGCTGGCAGGCCCCAATTGGCCAGGCCCTGATTGGCCCTGATTGCCAGCCAGGCCTAGGGATCCTATCCATGCACGAATTTGTGCACCAGGCCCCTAGTATCTTTATAGAAGCCCTCTTGTTTAACAGAATGGCTCTGCAACATTGCCTTTTAGGTGATTAGGAGTACTTCTGTCTGTCTGAAATTTTAGATTCATCTTTGACCTTTCTGAGGTATGAACAAAGGGCTTTACAATCACACCTTTGCCTTCGTCTTTACCAGAAGAACCCCCGCCCCCCCCCGCCCCACTGTACCCTGGATTTCATTTTTGCCCTGAGGCCTTTATTACTTTGAAAATTCTTTGCTGGCTGGAAAGACTGTCATGGGATTTTTACATCTCCTCCAAATTCTAACTAAAAACAAAAGAATTTTTTCTTTAGTTTTCCCCTCACTATCTGTTTCTTATGGTACCAAGCCAAAATAAGCCAGTTGACATTCTACCTGAAAATCTTCTTAGCCAGCTCCATCACTTCATTAGGTACTTTTGCTCTTTTTTTTTACATTAGTGTAGATAAGAGCTTTGCTAAATTTTCTCCTACTGCGTAACAAGAATTCCTGTTCCTCCAAGTTCCTATTACATTTTCCTCAACTTTCCTTTGAACTGTCACCTGAAGTCTCTTCGAGGCCCTTCCAGCTTTCCCTAACAGTATCTCTGAGGCTTCTCAGGCATCTCCTACCACCTCGTCCCAAAACCAATGCCATATGTTCTAAGTTTTGAATGGCCGTGCCTCCCTACCAAATACCAAATTCTGTTCCACTTATCTATAGCTGCATAGCAAAATACTGTTTAACAGAATGATCCAGAGGCCTTCCCTTTCCACATCTCCTAGTGGCATAAAACAACAACCATTTTATTATGCTCACAGAGCCTGTGGATTAGGAGTTTGGACAGGGCACATAAGGGATGGCTTGTTCATGCTCTATGATGTTTTGGGCCCCAACAGGGAAGACTCAAATGGCTAGGGGATGAAATAGGTAAAGTTTGAGAGTCTACTACCAAAATGGCTTGTTCCCTGGCATGGATGCCACTTGGTGGGCATGGCTGGAAGACTGCCCTGAGCAGGGTCTCTTGGCTAGAGCACTTACACATGGCCTCCTTAGCATGGAGAAAAAGGAGCTAGCAAAGGGGCAGGGTGGGGCTCACTCCTTTAGGCTGGGTTTTCCCCATAAAGAAATCAGAGACCTTGGATAGGGGTTGGGGATAGTAGGCTGGGAAGAAAGTTCCTTATGCACCTGTGTTGTGTGGGGGAAAGGGCACGATCCAGCAGATGGCATGTGCGAGCTGGATTGGGTCAGCTCAGCTCTGGGATTTCTCTAGCCTCCCTTGGGAGCCTGGGGATGGGAATGGAATAATAAATGTTATTTATTCTCTTTTGGTGTGAAGACCCCTAGGGGTGAGGGGAGGGAAATGTACACAGAGATAACCACTCAAAATAGTGGATAGCATAGTGGGTTGAACAGTGCTTGCCCCCCCCCCCCCCCAATGTCTAAGTCCTAACCCCTGGTACCTGTGTATGTGACCTTTTTGGGAAATAAGGTCTTTGCAGATGTAATGAAGGATCTTAAGAAGAGTTCATCATCCTGGATTTACAGTGGGCCCTAAATCCAACGACGGGTATCCTCATAAAAGAAAGGAAACAGAGATTTGAAACAGACAGACCCAGCCCGGCCGGTGTGGCTCCGTGGTTGAGCATCAACCTCTGAACCAGGAGGTCACGGTTTGATTCACAAGGAGGCCCCAGAGTGGGGCGTGCAGGAGGCAGCTGATCACTGATTTTTCCCCCCTCTATTTCTTTCTCCCTCTCCCTTCCTCTCTTAAATCAATAACAAATATTTATTTTTAAAAATATTTTTATTGATTTCAGAGAGGAAGGGAGAGAGAGAGAGAGAGAGGAGAGAGAGAAAGGGAGAGAAACATCAATGAAGAGAGAGAATATTGATTGGCTGTCTTCTGCTCGCCCCCTACTGGGGATTGAGCCCGCAACCCAGGCATGTACCCTTGACCGGAATTGAACCTGGGACCCTTCAGTCCACAGGCCAATGCTCTATTCATTGAGCCAAACCGACTAGGGCCAATAAAAAAATATATTCAGAACAACAACAACCATAACAAAAACAACAACACAGGGAGACCCAGAGGAAAAGGCCGTGTGAAGATGGAGGCAGATGTTCGAGGGCAGCCCCAAGCCAAGGAACACGAAGGGTAGCCAGCAGCCACCACAAGCCAGGAGGGAGGCAGGGAACGATTCTCCCTAGAGCCTTCGGAAGGAACCAGCCCTACTGACTCCTTGGTTTCAGGCTTCCTGCCTCCACAACTGTGGGAGAGTAACTTGTTTTTATAGCTCACCCAGCTGTGGTAATTTGTTACAACAGCCCTAGGAAGCTAATGAAGACAGAAATGGGTAGAAGACAGATATAGTGAGGCTGAAGGGCTGGAGGCAGGGGAGGCGAGGGAGCCAGCGTTACCCCCCCCCCCCCCCCGGCTAATTTGGACTGGCATCCCATCCTGTCCACCAGTCAGGGCCCCTCAGCCTTTCATCCACTTCAGGCCCTGATCCAGCAGACTCCCCTTTCACATCTCAGCACTTGCTTCCCTGCCGGGGCGACTTTAAAGAGCTTTTTCTTGGGACGTGGTCTTGAGCTGTTGTGTATGCTTTCCCTCCTGCAATACTTAGTGTTTTCTCCCTCTCCTATCTCTCGCTGCCTTTGGAAGTGCTTTGTACACAGTGGGTGCTCAATAAATGTTATTTATTCTGTCTTCAAAGTGAGGATAATGTCTCCCACTGCTCCACTGTGATGTGTCCCCCTCTCACACCCCACCCCTGGAAACAAGTTCTTCAAAAGAACTTGGTAACACAATCATCCCTCCATGTGCCTTCTAATCCTGCTCCCAGTCACTAACTTGTGTATAAACTTGGATAAGTAACTGTACTTTCCTCTCCTTAGTTCCCTTTTAGGTACAATAAAAGGATTGGAGTGGATTCATTCATTCATTCATTCCTCCATTCATTCAAAACTTGTTTATTAAGACTGTACCACAAATCCTGTGAATTCAAGGGTAAACAAGAGACAGTTCATGCCTTCAAGGAGCTCAAGTTTCATCGAAGGAGGCAGAAGGAGTAGTTAAGACCCAGCTAGAGTGGCACAGGGCGGGGGCTCTGAGGTTGGAGTGGCCAGGACAGCTGGGGAGGGACTGAGAAAAGCTTCACAGGAGAGGTGACTAAGCTGCTTCTCTGGGGGATCCTTCCAGGTTCCAGGCTTTCCCTCTAGAGCAGGGGTGGGGAACGTCCGGCCCGTGGGCCATATAAGGCCCATGAAATCATTTGGTTTGGCTCTGCCAAGGCAGTAGGGGTGAGTTAATTAGATGTTTAACCAATTATAGCAGGCTAATTTTTAAGTCGATAATTTTATATGGCCTGCAAATGATCTTATAAACATCCAAATGGCCCTTGATAGAAAAAAGGTTCCCCACCCCTGTTCTAGAGAAACAAATTTTGGGTCAAAATAATAATCTTCTTAGAAGCTGTGCACAATGGAGCAGGCTCCCCTGGAAGGCGCCCCACTGGGAGGAGCTTCCAGTAGAACTGGGATAGGTCAGGTGCCAGCTCTCTGGGATCCCTTCCAACTCTGGGATCCCAAGAGTCTCTGCAAAGGGGGGCCAGTGCCCCTTTTCCACGTAAACGGGGAGGAGAGTTGATTCACACTTAAATGCACTGGGAGAAGCAGCTCTGGTGTGGATCTTTCACCCCAAAACCAGTTGAACCTCACACACAGACTCCCTGAGCCATCCGAAGTGACAAGCAAAAGGCAGGCGAAGGAAACAGCGCGAGTGTCATATTACTTTTATTCTTATCTCCCATCAGTCACGGACAGGGAAGGGTAGCTGAGGATGTGTGTCTGTCCTCAGACGCTGGGAGGAAGCTCCAGGGTCAGGTGGCGCACAGTGGTTTACAGCAGACAGGTAAGCAGTGTCCGAGAGGTGCGACAATGGTTGGACTACAGGGAAAGCTGGAGGCTGATGAGAGGTCTGGGGAGGTCAGAGGAGAGCCAGGAATGGAAGCCTGCCCACAACTCCTGCCATAGGGCACCCAGCTTCTCGCACAGAACCAGGCCCTGCTTTTCCTCAGGCGGCCACCAAGGGGCAGCAAAGTGCTGGTGTGACAGCCCAGCCCAGCCCAGCTGGAGAGCTGAGAGCCTTGGGACTTGTTCCAGGTGGCCAGGGAGGGAGAGACGGAGCATTTTGGGGTAAGGGCGTCTGTCCGATCCTGACTCCCCTGGGAGGAAACGCAGAGGATGGAAGAGCCAAGATTCCCGGGGGGCTTCCCCAGGCGATACAGGAGGAGGCAAGCACACACCTGGGAATCAGTGTGGAAGTCCCCAATCTGCAAACTCCAGAGCGGATCTCTTGGTCTCTCTTCCCCTCAGCAGGAGACCTCTGACCTCACATCACAGACGGCCAGATTCCTGGCTGCCTCTAGCTTTATGAAACCCAACCTACCCCTTCCTGGACCCAGTCCCACCCCTGCCAAAAATGTGAGGGGCCAGCAGGTCCCCTCCTCCTCTGCAGCTTGTGACACCTGCCCATTTTAGGTTTCTCAGGTTTCCATTAATCCTGCATTCCTGCTCCCCTGCCCTTCCTCCTTCCAAGTCCCATCCGGGTGTTCCTGGGGCTCCTCAGGGCTTGGATGGAGGTGGAACTCTCTGCTGCCAGCTCAGTGTGCCCTCAGGACCCAGAGGGGCAGGCTGCAGCACACTCTGCTTCGTGATGGCCCTGAGCTGCCCCTTCATCACGGGCTTCCCCTCCTCCCCTCTGCCCAGCTCTTGGAGCTCAGCCTCACATAAGCTTCTCAAGTCCCAGCTTCTGTATAAACTGTCCTGGGAAGAGAAGGGCTTGGGGAAGGGATTCTGAGAAGCAAGACCAAGGCCTAGCCTGAGAGTGGCAGGGCTAAGGGGGGGAATTCTGACCCCTCAGAACCGGGGCAAGAGATCAGGAGAGGAACGAAGGGGCAACTGGATGAGGGTATTCGTGGAAATACGTGTTCTGGTGCCTCCCCTGTGCCACCCTGGTCATGGTCTTCCTTCTTGCTGATAGCAATTGTGAATCACAGAGAGCAAGAAACACTCGCCTGACGCCGCGGGCAGTGAGGCTGGGAATCAGCACCAGAACCCGGCCGCCCAGCGTGTGTCCAGAAGGTGGAAACCACGGAGTGGAAAACTGGTAGCAGCAGTGGGAGGGGAGATGGAAGGCCAGGGTTGGCACCGAGGATGACAAATCCCCAGTAACGCCCAGGGCCTGACCACCATGCAACCTCATTGCAGCCCCACCCAGTCTGTTAGCTATACTACCCTGGGCTCATTTCCAAGCCCCTTGATCACCTCTGCCATGGGAATGGATGAAAACCACCTGTGTAGGAGGGCTGAAATGGATTAATTTAGGACAACACACAGTAGGCATCTCACCCATGCTCACGATTGCCTTTATCTCACCCACAAACACCACCATCATTTCTTGGTTCCTTATTCCCTCAAATACCCACGGTGCAATAAAACTTCTGCAATATTTCTTGAAAGCTGAAAATAGGAAGGGTGGGGAGGGAGGGGTTGGGAACACAGACAGCTTACGTAGTCATCCTCCCCACGGGCAAACAGGCCCCTCAGACAGGGGTAAGAGGTATCTAGAGGGAGAGGAATCCACTCTGAACCTCCCTGACCCCACCCAGTAACTTTCCACTGGCCTAGGGTTGGCTGCTCGCACGTGCTGGCTGCACTGGCTGCACGCTTCCCCCAGGCGTGGCCCCTGGTCCCCTCCCCAACAGGGCCTGCAGGGGGCTGGGTGGCTGACGCATTCCCTGCCGGAGATCTCAGCCGCCTAGAGGCTGATAAGGAGCCCAGGCCTCATCACGTGGGACTGGCCCTGGCTGGATCGTTTCCAAATTAGGGAGATGAGGAGATAAGGAGTGGAGGGGGCTTAGGGACTCTGTGCTGAGTGGCCAGAGAAGCTAGGGAAAGGGACATAGGCACAACCAACTGAGGCCTCAGGAGGCCTGGCTAGGGGTAAGCCAGCAAATGGCGTGAGATGGGGGAGGGTTTAAGAAATGGGATGTGTGGAAAGGCCCTGTGGAAGGGCTGGGGGCAGGGTAGGATTCCCTCCAGATGGGGCTGGCTCAGTCAGAATGACCCTCCCTCCCTCAGAACATCCAGTCCTCTAGGGCACAGCACTCGCCCCAGGCCTGTGGGAGCATCCTGGGGGCCCAGAGAAGAGGGTGAGAGGAATAGGTCTCAGTCCTGCCAGCCCACAGGCCTCCCGGGTGGGTGCAGGTCGGGGTGACCTGGCAGGACTGCAGAGCCCAGACCTCCCAGTTGGCTGCCCTGCGCCCACCTCCCTTGGGGTCCACTTAGGAGCAGGACCTCCTGCTCCCACCCCAACTGCTCTGTCATGACCCAGGAGGTAGATGGCACTGCCTTCCTATGCCTCTCTGGGTGCTCTTGGCCCCAGGGCTCCAGTCCCTAGAACAAGCCATTAGTCTCAGAGCTGAGAGAAGATGGGCAGCCTGGGACAGCCATCCTGCCTACCCACCTCCCCTCCACCACCCCGCGGAGCACCCTCACCTGATCTCCCAGCCATGCCCCGACCCCCTTCCTTACAAAGCCTGACCTGGAAAGAGAGAGAGGAGGGTGTCCAGGACGCAGGACAGTGTGCCCCACGGTCACAACGCCGTGGCAGCTTTAGGAGGAATCTTAGTGGGGTGCAGCCCTCAGCCAGGCTTCCTAGGGTCTCTTTCCCTCTGAAATCCTGCTGCTCTCCTCTCCCTTGTCCCTTGGGTCCTCAAACCCAGAGGAGCCTCCAGCCTGGACTGTCTCAGTCTGGGAGATGTAACTGGGGGGAAAGGGTGGCACAGGGCATGGGGTGACCTTGGTTCTGCAGGGCCCCTCAGGGCGTGGATACAAGCTACAGAGGGTGAGGATGAGGGGTAGGCGAGGGAGTGAGCAGGCTGGCCACAGGCCGGGCTGGCAGCTAGTTTATATCTGGGCTTACGGGAGCACAGGGAGGGTCAGAGGGCCAGCGAGGGAGCATTCTCTGAAGGGAGAGGTGGTGGGAGGAGCTCCTCATTCCCGGCTGGTGCCAAAAATCTGGAGGAAGAAGGTGAAGATGTAGATGATGTCTAGGTAAATGTTGAGGGCTCCAAAAACATACTCTTCGGGGCTCAGCGTGTGGCGTCGGTTACCCATCAGCAACTGCGTGTCAAATGCCAGGAACTGAGGGAAGGGGAAGAGATAGGAGAAGTCAGAAGGTTCAGTCACTGTGACACTGACCAGGGGGTCCAGTGTCCCCACCCAGGCCCACCCCTGATTTTGTTACTATCGCTCGCTGCCTGACTGCTCAGTGAGCTTCCAGCCCAGAATCTGGAACTCTCCCAGAACCTGGAACTTGCCCAACACCTCAGTCCCTAATTTAACACCTACTAACTGAGCACCTACTATGTGCCAGACACAGGCATACAGTAAAGAACAACATAGACAAGACCCCTTGCCTTATAGAGCTTCAAGTCTAGTGGGAAGTACGTGTTAGCATGAGTGTAACCAAAGCACCCGGTGCCGATCACAGGAACCTGGCCCCGTGTGGGTGTGGCAGGAAGCCAGGGAAGGCTTCCTGGAGGAGGGGGCCTTGAGGGACCTTCAAGCTGAGTCCTAGTCTTCTTGCCATTCCCCTAGGGCCCTGCTCTTAGAAGACAAATGAATGCTTCAAGTAATAGCGAGCAGGGAATGGAAATTTATTAGGCGTTTTCCAGACCTTAGCCTGCTTAGTCCTAATAATATCCCTACTGAGTAGGGGTTCCATTCCTCCCAGAGAAAACCACAGCCCAGAGATGCTAAGTACGTGCCTACGGTTACACAGTTAGGAAATGGCAAAGCCAGGATTTGAACCTGAGCAGGCCTCCTCCACTGCCCCCATGCTGAACCATTGAGCTCTGCTGCATGCAGACAGCACCGGGGTCTGTGCCTCCTGCCAGGAGACAGGCTCTCCCCCGGGCACCTTTTTGGCCCACTGGACTATGAATAGCTATTCCCTTAGAGATGGCTCCTCTTGGCCACCCTGCTGCTCCCTACCAGGCCTTCCCACTGCCTACAGTGACTCCTCCAAACAGCTTTTCTCTGGGGTCCCTGCATACGGAGCAGAACCCCTCAAGTCGCAGCATATGAAATTTGACAGGCAGGCTGTACTTTTCTGGGAGAAAGAAGCCAAAAAGTTCCACCAGTGTCTCCAAGGTTATGAACCACTGATCCACATGGGATTGGAATTCTTTAAATCGATGCACATTCTTGTTAACTGGGCTGTGCCCGGCTCTTCCGTCACTTGTGCATGGCCCTGTATTCCTCGGACTCTCTGAAACATTCATTATATGATACATATGCACGGGGCCAGGGCGGGTGCCAGGGACGTGCTGAGAGCTGCAGCCGATGGGGAACACAAATGCCTGCCTTGGGGGGCTCACCGCTTAGTGGGGAGTCTGAGATGAGTACAATAAAACCCAGTGAATGCCATAATTAGGGCTGATTGGGGAGGAGGAAGGTGTCCCAGGAGAGGTGACACTTAACCTGGGCTTTGAAGGATGACTAGGAGTTTGCCAGAAGACAGAGAAGGCACGGTGTGATGGGTGAGGAAATTCAGTATGGGAGGAGCAGGAGGGAAGGAGACGGAGGGAGGGGCCAGCTTACACTTGACCCTGGAAACTGGGGCCCAGCTCCATTTCCTTCACCCCAGACACAGACTCCCTGACTCTAGGACCCAGGCTCCTTGGAGCTGCTTTAGGTGCAGCCCCACGGAAGCCTGAGTGGACCCCGCCTCAGTGCCAATGACCCCAGGGCACGGGGGGCAGAGGCTCCAACAGGGAGCAAGTCCAGCAAGTGGGACTTGGAGGGGTGTCACCCTCGAAGGTGTGGAGTGGGGGTTGGTTAAGAATGCAGGCTTGAGCCCTCGCTGGTTTGGCTCAGTGGATAGAGCTTCAGACTGCGGACCGAAGGGTCCTGGGTTCGATTCCGGTCAAGGGCACATGCCCAGGTTGTGGGCTCGATCCCCCGTTGGGGGCGTGCAGGAGACAGCCAGTCAATGATTCTCTCTTATCATTGATGTTTCAATCTCTCTCTCCTTTCCTCTCCGATATCAATAAAAATCATTTTAAAAAAGAAAAAAAGAATGCAGGCTTGACAATCAGACTGACTGGATTCTAGTCTTAGTTCCGCTACTCACTAGTGATGGGCCCCGGGCAAGGCATTTCTCTCTGAGCCTGTGAGTCCACATCGGAAAAAGACAGATGAGAGCTAAACAACTTTCCTGAGGTTGTTGTGACAGAAAGATAATGCGTGCAAAGCGCCTGGCACGGCGCCTGAACATGGTAAGCGCTTAGTGAATGGTAGCTATGAATGTGGTTTTATTGTGATTGTCTGCAGGAGAGGCGCCCTCCCGAGAACCTGTGTACACCGCTGCTGAGCCGCCAGCGTCTCCCACGGCTCATCGAGGAGGCAGATGTGTTACTAGGGAAGCCGTGTGGCCTCAACAGAAGAAAAATGGGGAGCCTCACCAGGGCCGAGAAGGCCTGTTCAGGGTATGGCGGCCTCTCTGAGCCCAGTGGCACTGAGAAAGGGCATATGCGAGCACCGGGCTGGAGCCGGAACACCTGGGTTTGAGTGCGGGTTCATCCCTCAGTAGCCAGCACCCACGTGACCTCAGCGTCGTCATCTACAAAACGGGACGGTAGTAATGACCCCACCACCGTGTGGTTTTGAGGGTAAATGTAGGCAGTGTATGCAGCACCAACTATTATTATTCTTTAGAATCATCGCACCCCATCCTATGCTCCTGAATTTGATTTGGGTTCCCCAAAACGTTTTCCCTCTGCAGAGAGAACACGCAAGGAGAGGGCCAACTCCAACGCTACAAGCTGCTTAGCCGTCACGCCTGCCAGCAGAAGTTAATAAACTGCTGATCTGACTTATCAATCAGTAGCTTGCTTGGTTGATTGCCCAGAGCCTGGTCACCCCTGGGTGAGCTAATGAAAATAAATCTCTCAACTTAGAAGCTGGGACCTGACCAGGTTTGGGGGAGGCTCTTCCAAAGAGCACTCACCCAGGAGGCCCCTGAGAGCAGCCAGCTGGCTCTTCTCTTGGAGAAAAGAGGAGTGAAATGATTTCTGCCCCTGCCATTGGCCTATGGCCACGGATGCTTATCTATGTTGGGATAGCCTGCCCCAAATTCAACCCCACTGCCTGGCATCACCCATCACTGCAACCTCATGCTGTGAAGCAACGGAAGGCTTTTCATTCATTTATGCCCAGCAATATTTACTGAGCATCTACTATGTCCCAGGGAACTTGCCTTCAGAGAACTAATAATCGAATGAGAGCAAAAGACATCATCAGAGATTATATTATTAGCAAGCATTCATTATAGGGGAAAGTTACCTACTAACAACCCCCCCTGGGTGGCAGTAAGCATTGATAACTAACATCTTGGTGGAGAGCAGGTATCTTGGTTACAGTTAACATCTTAGCTGGCAGCTACGATCTCAGCTGAGAGCTAAACAAGGGGTCAAACACTAGAAGGGTAGCAGGTACTGAGTTGGTAGCCAGGTGAACATAAGACCCTGCCAGGGGAGCGAGTGGGATATGGGCAAGAGGCAGGAGGATTAGGCTGATGTCTGCATAGTCCTTTCACACACTATTCTTTTATCTGATCTCACTCACCCAATTTGCCCCAGGAGGTGCGTGTTATTGTCACTATTTTACATAAGAGGGAAGGAGTCTCAGAGCAGGTGACTGGCTTGCTGACAGTCATTGATCTAGTGCTGCAGCCAGATGACCTGTCTCATTCTGATGGAGATGGGGGTAGAGTGGGCTTGCAGGGAGGGAGGGGGCATGCACAGAGGCAGAGGAGCCAAAGCCAATGTTCCAGGTCCACCCAACTGGCTAGCCTTGGACCTGGCCAGGGCCCCTGGCTACACCCTCGGGCTGACCCTGCTGTGTCCAGGGCTTAGGCTTAGGCCTGTTGTTCTCCCAGGCGTGAGGCTGTGAGAGAGCATGCCAAGGACAGGCCAGCTCAGAGCCACCAACAAACAGGCACTGAATACAAAACGCTGAGGTTGCAATGCGTTGAATCAGCATAAAAAATAACAGAAATGCCAGCAGGAGTGCACAAAGCGCATGCCCAAGGCCTAGGCCTCCGCTGCGGCATTGGCTCCAACGGTGGAACACTGAAAACACCCAACTCCATCAGTGAGGACCGGTGGAAGGAGCTGTGGGTGGCAGTTCTGAGGCAGAAACATCTCTGACATATGCTATTATAGGAAACAAACAAGTTGCAGAAAAATCCGTATCAGGTGATCCCCTTTTATGTTAACAGACAAACCTCATAGGAGCCTATGCAGCAAATATCTATAAAACACATAGAGAAAGGCCTGGAAGGATATTGATCACAGTGGTTACCACTGGGGGAGGCAGTGAGGGACAAGGTCAAAACAATGTTTGCATTACCTATATTATTTAAGATTTTAAAAAATGGAATATATGAATAAGCATATTCATATATGATGTTAGGAAATTTAAAAAGAAAGGATAATGTTACACAAAAGAAGACTTGGTGACCTCTCAGCATGAGCCCCTGGGGCAGGTGCCGCATGATCGAGCCCCTCGTGTGGCTGAGGAGCCTGAGGCACAGGGAGCGTAAGTGATGTGCCCACTTCACACAGCCGAGAGGACAGCTCGAGTCCCTGACCCCAAATCCCACGCTTTCCATGGCACACGGAGTGCGCATGTGTGTGTGTGTGTGTTGTGTGCACGTGTGTGTGCACGTGTGTGTAAGGACAGAAGAGGTGGGAAGAGCTGTGCAAAAAGAGCTCATGGCCAAGAGCACTGCAGGCTTCCTGGGGGATGTAGAGAGCTGGGCCCAGCCGAGCTCTGCCACCACCTGCCACCCCCTTCCGGGCTAGAGAGTGAGCCTGGGCTTGGGGGACTCTTCAGGAAGAAACAACGAGCCCTAAGCCTTGTGCCCCAGATTGAGATGTGGGTCAGGGTGAGGGAGGAGAGGGGCTGAGTCCACTCGTTGCCTGGGGCCAGGGTTACATACTTCTCTTGTCTTCACTGACCTCAGTGTCAAAAATTTTAATGACACAGACAACTGCACATAGCCCTGGGTCCTGGCATGCATCTCCAGATGGGCCACTGCGGGAGCAGGGTCTGGCAGGCACGTAAGCCAGGAAGCC